TTTTTTTTTTTTTTTTTTTTTTTTTTTTTGTTCTTTTTTTCCAGTGCTTATATAACCCTGGGGAGTCTATTAATAAAAATAATGGTTTTGAACTCTGGGAACAACCGTCTGCAGCGATGAGCAATTAAACACTCAAGCTCTGCACGCCCGCGGCTCCCAGGCTGGGGCAGAGGAGGCGAGAGGCGCCGGGCAGCAGCGGGCAGAGGGCCGGGGGGGCGGCAGCGGGTTTGGACACCGGGTCGGGGGCCCAGGGGAGGCTCAAGGGGACTCCCCGGTTGCTCAGAGGGTTTCTGGAGGGGTATCCCCGAGGCTGGCGATGCTGGAGGCTCAGCCAGTCCTGGAGAGGGGGAGAAGTTAGTTGTCCTCTTCCCATCTCTGCTCATCCTCCACATCCCTTCCCACCGCCAGGGAAAAGAGGATCCCACTGCCCAGAGGAGGAAAATGAGGTTGTTTCATGCTGAGCAAGGACCGCGTGTGCCAGCGCATAGGCTAGGTCAGGAGGCCAAGGGAATGGGTGGCATCCGTGCATGGCACCCGCAGCACCCACAGCATCCTCGGCCCAGTCCCTCCTTCCCTTCTGCCGCCGCGGCTCTTGATAATCCCCCCTTCCCGAAGCAGCGCGCTCGACCTCACGGGAACACGGCACACGTTGCTGCGGCGCGTGGCGAGAGCGGGCGCGAGGCGGGCGAGCAGCGGGCCGGCCCCGCGGCGCCGGGCACACGAGCCGGGCCGTGGCCGCGCTGCCGGAGGCGAAGGCTTCGCGGAGCAGCTGGCGGCCGTGCCGGCTCCGCGGGGGGAGCCAGGGGCTTAGGGGACGCGAGAGGAGATAAGCGCGGAATTAGGTTTAAAGAGGCACCGGCGAGGCTTGTGGCCAAAAATAGGACCTGTTGGTCACGTGTGTTCATCACCGCTTCGGGGAAGGGGCCCTGTGGGCATCCCGGAGGGGTTTCTATCTTCACCCTCCCGTAACAGGAATCAAAGAGTCTTTGTAAAATACCCGGGGCCTCGGGATTCTTATTTTTCACTGCCTTAGTTGCCAGCACAGCATTTAAAGGGTTTAATATAACGTTCAGGTGGAATCTGAGATGGTAATGCAGGAAAGCTGGAACACCTCTAAATAAGGGTATTTGGCGGGGAAATAAACTCAGCCTTTAGGGAGTGTTAGCTTGCCCCTTTGTTTCCCTTAGAAGCAAAATATTTTGCAAAACAAAGCAAATCTCAGATTTTAACTCAAGAGCGACTGTCACATTAGAGTGCTTCTAGAGTGGGGCTTATCCTAGCCCTGCCCTTGGAGTGCCAGGTTCTCACCTTGGTCCAAAGAAACCTGTAAAACTGCACCCAGCAGCTTGCTGGGTTTATTTTTATTTTTATTTTGAGGAGGGGCACTGTTTCTTTATTGATTTTATTGATCTCAGTTGAATTGCCACGACTTGAGAGCCTAGTGCCAGGAACATGCTGTCACCCTGAAACTCATATCTTTAATTCCTTCCTGGGAATGCTAATAACACCTTAAGATGATTAAGCCTGGGAAAAAAAAAATCCTCAGTGCCTCATTTTCCTCCTGTTCGCTGTCTCTTGGCTCTTCGTTCATCTCAGGGAGCGGAATCAGATGGGTCGCTGCTCCTGTCTTTGCTGGCCTGGTGTGCCATTTGCTTTCTAATCACATCCATTTTTCAATGGCTTTTAATCATTGAAGCACAGGGGTTTAGCAGTACAATGACCTCTTTTGGACTGGGTCCATGCTGCAGTTCTTATGTCCGACCACGTCCCCATCCATCACTCCATGCGGGACTTGGGGTCGGTCCAGGCGGGCAGGTCGCCAGCACCGTTGTCCCATTGTGCATGACAATCGCCGATCCTTGCATGGTCAGAGCCTGGCCAGCCCTTCTGCACGTGTCCAAGGCCTCAGCGCCCCATTTTAGACCCTTTGCTTTGCTCCCCTGATGCCCACATTGTGCTGGGATGTGGATCTCCAGACCTGCTAGTGATGCCCCTTCTTCTCCTTTCTCTCCTTCCATTCTCCCCGCGCCCCAAGCTACAGGAAGAGCCGGTGAAGCGGAGACGATGACTGCCGAGAGCGCCAAAGCCAATGGCCCCATGAGGAGCCAGGAGGCCGCGGAGAACAAGGCGCTGGCTGCAGCTGCCCCATCACGGCGTCGCAGGCGCCGCCGGAGGCGCAAGTCCCCCCCAGAAGTGACCGTGAAAGGGCAGCTCCGCATGCGCTCGCCCTCAGGTGTCTTCGTCATGGTGGGCATCTCTGTCGTCTTGGTGGGCATGACGATTGCCGTGGTGGGCTACTGGCCTCATCGGGCTGGGGCCAGCTCAGGGAATGCCAGCAGCCCTGGCGACGTGAGGAAGGAGGTGGCTCACGCTCGCCATTTCCCGCACAGCGAGAAGCTCAAGCTCATTGGTCCCGTCATCATGGGCATTGGCCTCTTCATCTTCATCTGCGCCAACACCATGCTGTACGAGAACAGAGACATGGAGACGCGCCTGCTCATGCAGAAGGGCCTCTACGGCATGGCTGCGGGCCTCCCCACGGAGCCCAGTGCCGAGGACAAGTACTGCGAGACGAGGGTGAGCCAGCCGGTGCCTGTGGACAGCGTGGAGGGCTGCTACGAGGTGGACCTCGCCTCCAGGGTCTTCCACCCGTGCCCCAGCAGCAAATGGTCTGAGTGCTACGGAGCCAAGCGGCTCCAGACCACAGCCCAGCTCCTCCACCACAATGGCGCGTCGCCTTCTGCCTCCCTCCTCAGCGTCCACTCGGGCAACTTGCCTGATGGCAACCTCAACCTTTCCTTCAGCCCTGGGGCGGAATCGCTCCTTTCCTCTGCTGTCAACACGCTGGCACTGCCTGTGATCAAGCTCAACAACTGCCTGCTGGACACGGTGGCCGTGGCCCCGGGGGCCGGCGCGGCCGCGGAGGAGAGCCCTGCCAAGCCCATCGCTGAGGTGCGGAGGCCATCTTGGGCCCTCCTGTCCCACAGCAGCGGCACGTCGCCAGGAGGGCAGGAGCACCAGGACAACCATGTTGTCATCAACATGGAGGCCGTCTGCCCTGTCACCCCCGCTGTGGAGACAGCCCTGCCCTCAGGAGATTCTGAGAAGGAGCTCAGCTCAGACCCACAGCTCCACAACCCAGGACACTCCAAGTCCCTGGACCTGGGCCGGCCTGCGGTGCTGCTGGTGGCTCCCATCAAAGACCGCAAAAATCGGAGCTGGCCTCGGCTCGATCACCTCAGCCTGGTGGCTTATGCCAAGCTGGGGAGCACGGGCGAGTCGTCGGACCTGCTGCTGGAGCAGCGGGGCAGGCAGGAGGCCCGGCCGGGCTCGTGGGAGGTGGGCAAGGAGAGAGGCTCACAGGTGTGACGCTGACACCGGCTCCCTCCCACCTGCCTGCCTCCCCGCATCCCTTGGGGCATGGGGCTGTGGTGGCTCTTCGTTCAAGTGGACATTGCAGTGCTGAAGAGAGGTCCCCACCAGCAAGACTCCACACGAGGCAGGGACATCCCTGTCACCCCATAGGCTGCCCATTCCTTGACCAGGTCCTTGGTACATGCCCTCGGCCCTGCCTTACTAGCCCTGCTCCCATTGTCTTTCATGGAGGAAACCTCACTTGAACTTGAACCTGAGCTGAGATGGGGACCAGGGTGAGGAAAGCCCTGGTGGCCATGGTGGCATTTTACTTCAGCGGGGCCGAGGAGGGTGGTGGGGAGTCTTGGGATGGGCCCCCTCACCCAGCCCACTGGTAAATTTGCTTGCCCAGAGCACTTTGTCCAGGCACTTTGGCCTGAAGGGGCTATTAAATGTTATCTCAGTGCCATGAGGTACAACTTGACTTGTAGTCCTGCCTTAAGGCTGCCCAGAGTGGGGAGTTGTGCCAAGAGCAGGTGGTTTCCATGCATGTTACCAGCAGAAATTCACTTCTCTGGAGGTCACTTCGCTGCCAGTGGGACCCCAGGAATAGGGGCAAGGTTGAGAGGGGTGAGGCCTCCGTTTGCCATGATCAGACACATTGCCCAAGCCTTGTCTAACACAAGGATGCCAGCACAATGTCCCTGCTTGTGTTGGCTTGCTGAAGTGTCTCCCAGCTCTGAATTTAGCCTGGAAGCACAGGGAAATGTGTGTGTTAAAGATGGATGGGGAGAGGTGATTTTTTTTTCTTTTCCTGGAGAAAAGCAATGATTTGATTGTGACCAATTTCCAACCCTTGAAAAAAAAAAAATCTCTCCTATCTCAGAAGTGTCTATATTGGTCTCAGATCCAGGCACAAACTTGTCGTGCCCCTAGTTTGCAAAGTCACTGTGCCCAGTAAAGTCCCTCTTGAGAAGGCAAGAAGGTCAATGTGGGTGACATTTCCAGAAATACCTTTTGGGGGAGCATGGTTTGGAGTTTGAGTTTGCCATGGGTCAAGTGACACCATCTTCTAGTGCCTGTTCCCCAGGGAGAGACAGAGATTGGTCCTGCCTGCCATGGCAGGACACATCACTTGGTCTTTAAGCATCATAGATTAAGGAGAGCCCCAACTACAGCTGCTGACATTTGGGCACAGCTAGTTTTACTCTGTTCATTGGCCATTGCCTTGGGAGTCAGAACCAAATTCCTGGGTTTTGTAGTTCTCCAAGGCCTAGCTGCCTCCATCTCCGTTCAGGTTGGGAAGATACCTAGAGGTCTCAGCTGTTTCTGGAGAGAGCTGCAGCTGCTTGTGGAGCTTAGTCAGTGTGTAAGAGCACTACCTTAGCGGTCTCTGCACACCTGGAAGAGCAGCTGAGGGCCGGGGGGCACAAGGCTTGTTCTTGCTGTGGAGATGCAGGTGGGCACATAGCCTTGCTGCTCAACAACTGGCTGGGGAGCTCCGGGGAGCCTGTCACCTGGGGGCCATCAGAGTTGAGGGGACTTGAGTTTCCTTCCTGCTCTTCCCCACAACATCTTAGGGCTTAGGAAGGTGCTACTGTCCCCACGAGTCACCACAGGGCAGCTCAGAGCAGGTTATGTCTCTTGGTATCCTCCTCTGGGAGGTGGGTTGGTCCCTGGGATGCACAGGCTGGGTGTTGTGTGCAGGTGCATCATGGACTGAGAACCTGGCTTGTGGCTGTGCAGTGTGCATCAGAGGGACAACTTGTACCTTCTCCAGGTCCTCACTCTTCTGTAGCAGCCATGTCACCAAAATCCCTCTTAGTGAAGAGCATCTCCTTGTCACATCAAGGCCCTCAGGAGCCCTTTGCGGGGACATGACCGGCTTAGGTGCCCCAAGGGACTCCTGAGAGCATCTCCTGGCTTCAGGCTTGGCTTGTGCCTTGACGTGCTGCCAAGTGAGAAACTTCTCTCTGAATAAATGGGGCGAGCACTCTTCAGGGCCATGGGCGCAGTGGGGATGTGCTACTTCCCATGTCCCTGAGCGTGCCCAGAAATGCTTAAGTGCCAAGAACGATAGTGCAGGGGGAATGTTTAAGTGATTGAACTTGTACGATTAGCTTCGGGCTGAGCAGAGGCGCTGGCTCCTTGCGGGCCAGTGCGTCACCTCCACAGGGCACCCTCAATGCGAGCGCTTTGCCGAGGCCTGGGGCTCTGGCCAGGAAGCCCCAGGGCCCCTGGAGCTGCTGCTGGGATGGCACGTGCCAGGGGACGGAGCCCGAGCCGTGCCGCTCACCCGGCTCCTCAGCCCCCCTTCATCACTGCCCTTGGCTCCCGCCATGGGAAGCGTCAGGTTCAAAAGCCCACGGGAAACAAAAGTGCTCTGCACTGTTTTTAGAAGAATCAGTGTTTTCCACAACATGATTTCTTCAAGTTTGACCACTTGGCATGATTCTTTTTTTTTTTCTCCTTTTTTTTTTTTTCCATTGCATTTCTATCACGAGCTGCTGCGCTGTTTCCCAGGGCTGATGCAAGGGGCGTCTTCAACAGGACCAGAGTCTTTTGCAGGGACAAAGTCCTGCCACATCCAGCAGCTCATCCCGGGGCCAAACCTGCCTCCTCCATGCCAATTCCTATGCAAATCCCACCTTTTTCCCAGTATAAAAGGCCAAACCTTGGAGAGCAGCACTTTTCTCCCTCATCCTGCTCAGGAAGCAGCCAAGGCCCAGGGCAATTTGCACTTGCTTGCAGCAAGGTCACAGCTTGAGATCAGCCCCGCGGCAGAACGGGGATTTTCTTGGCCATTGGTCCATGCCAGAGGATGGAAAACATCCCTCTCTGCCGACATCCAGCATGAGAGCTCCCAGGGTCCGCACTGGCCCCCAAAAAGGGAGTCAGAGGGAGAAAAAAGCTTTATTTTAGGGGACACATTGGAAAGCAGCAAGGGGCAGCAGCGAGGGGCGCGAAGCTCCCCAGGCGCCCGGGCAAAGCTCCGGCAAAGCTCCCTGCTGGGAATCTCCTTGCACGGGTGCTGTGCCGGGATGGCCGGAGGGGCCGCTCGAGGGGCTGGGATCCAGCGCTGGGATCCATGTCCCGGCGTGCGAGCCAGGGCGTCCCCGCGCCCCAGAGCAGCCCGTCCGTGCCCCCGGGGACGGGACGCTTGGCCCACGTTGCCGCCTCTCATTAAATGTTGTCAGCGCTGTAAATTCACCTTGTTCTCCAACGGAGCTGCCAGCCCTGGCGGGGCTGACACGAGGCCTGGCAGCGGCGGCGCGTTGCATTCGGCACCTGGGAAAAACGCATCGAGCGGAGCCTTTTCCCAGCACTGTGGCTTGGGAGGTGGAAAAGGAAAGGGGGCCTCGGCCTCCGGCTTGGAGGGGCAGTTTGTCCCATTGGGGCCAATTCCCCCGAGTGCTGGAACAGGGTGTTGGAGCTGGACGGGTGGGCTATCTGCTTCCCACCCAAATCTACGGGTGGCAGCGGGAGGCAGGGCAGCTGGGGCACCCCCGGGCACGGCCGCGGGTCCCACGTCCCCATCCCTCTGCGTCCTTCCAGCAGCCCCGGGACTGACGTGCCTTGAACAGGGCCACTAAAGAAATCCAGAGCTTCCCCTTGCTGCTTCGGGGCAGCTCCTCCCCAGCAGATCGGTGGCCAGTGCAGAGTGAGAGGCTTTGGAGCCGGGACGATGGGTTTTATTTGAAAATTTATTGGAAAAATGCAATACAGGAAGCAATACAGAACACTTACGTCTGTCTAACTGCTACAGCAACTTTCCCTTTGCTTTGCTATGGAAGTCCAAAAGACCAGCTCCCGCCGCTTGCTACTCGCTCTATAAGGATTTGCCAATTCTTCTCTCTTGAAAAGTTCCTATTTTGATAAGGAGTGGAAAGGACTAGCCTAGACAGTTCACAATTGCCTTAAAAAATTTTTACAAAGCTCCTTTGTATTCTCACCTAAAAAAGTTTTGTTTTTTTTTTTTTAAATACAAGTTGGATCTCTAAGGTCGGGGCCACTATCGCCTCTTAAGGGCATTGCACAATTAGGAAATGGGCAAACCACAGTTTATGAAAACCAGAACCCAGCCCGTCCCTCGCCAATGCAGCGGTGATGCCCGGCGCTTCCTGGACCACGAGCTCCTTGCCTCCCTCTCTATAAAAACATTCATTCATATATAAATAGCTTCCATATAATGTCTATTATACAATCGAGACAGTCTCTAGGTGAATTTGTGGACTGGGAAGAGCTGGGAACATTCATATAAATAGGGCTTTTAGAGTCGCTTTGCCTCCAGGAATCGGGAACGCGCCGAGAGGTGGGTTTGGGCAGGAGGAAGGGCACGGGGCGGCCCCACCGCGGCGCTGCGCGAGGATGCAAGAAGCTACTTAGGGGTTTTGGAGGCTGGTGCTGCAGGAAGCTCCTCCATCTTCTTCCCCGGCTGCCGCTGCGGGTTTTTCCAGCTCCGTATGCACCGCCCGGCTGCTGGAGAGGCTCCAGAGGGCTGGAATCCTCCCCCACGCCGTGTGGGCAGACACGGGGAAAGCTACGGGATGGGGGGAATCGCCCAGGGGAGCGACTGCACTCCGAGTTGCTTGAAATAAAAGCAAGAAATTAAGCAAGACATGGAGATGGTCATCCAAAATCCAGCCAAAAAAAAAAAAAAATAGAATTAGAATTATTTATTCTGTGATCCCTTAAGAAGGAACCGCCTCTCGAGCCAACACCTTTCCAAGCCCTAGGACATCTATGTTGAGGGGGATGTTTGGCTCTTTCCAACCCCCTCGGTCCCCGGGACACCTGATGGCACTGGGAGGAGTGCGCTACCGGAGCAATGCGCTCCCCTCTGTCTTGGGGCCACCAAGCGCCTTTAAGTGCTATGGAGAAACTGAATTCATCACATTAGGGTAATTACTTGCTAAAGGTAAAAAGAATATCCTGGGAAACAACTACCCTGCGTGCCCGTTTTCAGACGAATTAGCTGCTACAGGGCAGGAACACAAGGAAGAACCAAGCGGCCAAAGATCCCTCCCAGCGCAGGACGTCACCGGGCAGGTGCTCAGCGCGCCGCTCGCTTAAGGCAAGAGGCACCCGGGGAGGCGGCGGAGGGCGAGCGGAAGGGAAGGGGCTCGGGGGAGATGAGCGGGACCCGGGAGCTCTGCTCTGGTGGCGAGCAGCGGCCGGGGTCCCCGCGGCGCCCGCGGGAGCCGGGCGCGGAAAGCAAAACTGGGCGTCTCCAACCGGCGCCCAGAGCTTCACTCAAACCACGCTCGAATCGGAGAGGCTGCGCAAGGTTAAGTCAAAGACTGTTTCTGGCTAAAAAGCCAGTGCCTGCGGCTGGAGCTGAGCCCGGTGGCCTCGGAAACACGCTGCTCAAACCTGAAAAATCGCAGGGAACTTCTACTGCCGTCTGCTTCGCGCCCTCGAGGGCAAGGCCCCGTGCCCGGGCTCCCTGCGTGCCACACCACGTACAAACCACAACCTCAAAGTCCTGTTTAAGAGTTCGCAGGTGTCTGGGCAGACTCGCAACACAGCTTTAATTTTTTTTTTTTTTTAAAGGAATCCCAAAGAAACAAAAATAAAGCGCAACCTGCTGGAAGGAGAAACCTGGACACAAGCTGAACTCCAGAAGCAGCAGCAAGGAAGAGGCGGAGGAGAACCCAGGTCATGATGCAATGGGGAGAATGGGGGAGTTTTAGGGTCCTCTCCAGCCAGCTGCAGGCTCCTCTTAAAAGATGCTTGAGGAGTGACTGCAAGGGGAGGCCATAAACGTGCAGATGCTCCAGTCGTTGCAATTGCACAAGCAAGCGGTGCATCAGGTGCTGGTTAAAAAGTCATTTGTAGGCGGTCTGGAAGCTAAGCCTGAAGCTGCAGCTGCTCCAGCCCTGGTCTGTCATCCCAGCGGGGCGGCCACCAGGCCAAAACAGGAGCCCCCAAAGCAGCGTTGGAAGAGGCAGGTCTGCATTTGGCAAGAAGCCGACGGTACCGCAGCGAGCACAACTCGCCACCAACCAAGGTGTCGCGTCCGGCCTCCCCCAAAGCAGCCTCCACGTCGCAGAGGGATCGTCTAGAGGGGTTTTAAAGTAAACGAGAGTAGGTTACAACACCTTTGTCCTGATATGTGGGTAATGTGTTTGGCTTTAAATAGCACTGAGAGGAGACGGGGGGAAAAAAGTGACTTAAAAAACTTATTTAAAACTCAAGAACACAAACAAGTGGAAAAACTATGACACTGAAAAAAAAATAGTCGGTTACTGTGAATGCGGCATATGCCTACCTTAATAGCATCCAGAGTCAACACATCTTCAACACACACTTCTAAGGGCGTTTTAATTTAATGGCATCTAAGAAACACGAACAGGGAGGGAGCAGGGGGCAGAGCTACGCGGGAGAAGGCGCGGGGCCCTAGCGCAGCTCTCTTAAAGCTCTACAATTCACAGTATCAGATACTCAAGCAACTTCCAGTAGTCCTTAAACCTAAGTCGACTATTAGGATGGGGGGGATATGCTTAGGCCACCCAACTCTACTATGATCAAACAGCGCCGGGCTGAAACCCTGAGGAAATTCAGCCTACGGGTAGCGCTTCCGGAGTCGCCAAGGTCCTAAAATAAGCAAAGGGCAAAAAAACGCTGCACAAACTCAATCTGACTCTTGAAAACGTCTCTTGCGGCAGAAGGACCCGGCGGCAGCTTCTGCTGCGTGAAGTCTGCGCTGCGCGCGTGCCCGCGGGGGGTTAACGCCGCTGCGCCCGACCGGGCGGCGGGGGAAAAGACTTGGGAAAGGAGAAAAAACCCGGCCCCCTTGGGCCCTGTGAGACGGGGCGGGCCCTGGCTGAGGAGGCTACTGCGGCAGAGGGAATGCAAAATTGAAAACCTGTAAAAAATGTTCAGTACAGTTAGAAATATGGCATACTGTTTGTCACTATATATATATATATATATATATATAAAAAACAACAACAAAAAAACTATATCCAAGAGGATCCATTGGAGTCTGGAAAATCCCAAGTAAAATGTCAAAGCGCAACTCCCACTACGTGATATGAGTGCTCAGCGGCTGAGTGTACGTCCGGCGAAGCTGAGGTCTTGGTGCTCCAGGTAGTTTCTCTGTAGGTTTGCTGGGTTTCTTCCCCCGCCGTGCTCTGTCTGGAAGGAACATGTCCTGGAAAGAGAGGAACAGGCCACACTATAAGCACCGACTTTCAATGAAAAAGAGGAAACTGCTTCCCTTATCCTCAAAATCATGTGAGAAATGGGAGGGAAGATGAGCTATCGGTTCTGGCACACGGGAACCGAGGCTCAGAGTTGCAGCCGGGCATCTGTCCCAACTCAAACCCTCCTCTGTTCCCTCAAGGGCCACTTTCCAGCCTAAGGCCAAGTGTTGCAAGTCCTCAAACCGTTAGACCAAGTGTGCCACTGAATTAGAGGTGGAAGCCCCTTGAATTAGCAGAGGGTCGAACCCATAACCCGCAGAGCGGTCTTTCCTTCTGGCCACTCTCTGTGACACGACCCGCTCGAGGGGGCGCGGGGCTCGCGGGCCCCCCCGTCCGCTCCCCACTTACGCAGCCCCGCTACTCCTCGGCGATCTCCGTCTCCTGGTGCACGACCACCTTGGTCACCGACATGTCCGGGTGCTGCTCCTTCGCTGCTTTTATGGCCTGCGCCAGGACCTGGAAGAGAGCCCGTTTGAGAGCTGGGCCTGAGGGAGGCTCCTCAGGGCACCACGAGCCTCCTTTTGCCCCAGGGGAGAGGAAAGGCCAAGGGAAAGGTCTCCAGCTGGAAGGAAGCCCAGGTTCCTGCTTAAGGAGCCAGGCTGCGAGCGCTTGCTCGCTGTAAAAACTGTAAGATGGATGAGAGCAATTAGGCTTATGCAGGAAACCCTGCTCACTGCTCCAGCAAGTGTGGCAAGCACATTTCAAGTGTCTTCTCAGACATTTTCCGTCAGAATTAGTAAGGCGGTTCTTCTCTCACAAATAAACCCCAGGTTCATGATAGCTGCGACTAAAATGAAACTCCAAGTAGGATTCTCCAGTGACACAACCGTCCCTTCCAACACACAAGCTTAGAGGCCAGAGAAGCTGACTCGTCAGAAAGGTTTTCACATAAAAACTGTGGGACTTGCTGCAGGTCCCTCCTTTCTACCCTGCTGGTAAATACTGTCTGTGCTGAGGGGTAGGAAATGATTTCTGGCATGATAGTGCAGCAACGTTGCTTCAAAGTTAACTGCAGGTCATCCAGCTGTCAAGAAATACTTTTATATGTTTTCTTTTCACATTTTTCAAAAATTGGATTTGTCCAAACCAATTCTGGAATCGGGACTTTGTTGCTAATACTAGTGTCAGGGGAGAATTAAACTATGCTGGCCCAGCTATATAGCTGCACACTGTGAAAAGGGAATTTATTACTGAAATGCATTAGGCACATGCAGATCAAAAAGTCAGAAAATTAGTAATATGTAACCAACGCAACTGCCCCATCCCTGGGAAGCCCTGCCACTTCTTTTGGACATAAATCTAAACTGAGGCTGACTCCCATCTGCAGATGAATATTAGCAGGGAGCAGAATCACATTTTCCATAACGCACGAGGTTTTACTTCCAGCCCAACAGAACTTGCCCAGGTTGTTTCCCGGGTACATCTTTGCCAAGGCAGGTTGCTGCCCGGTTTGTTGGCACTGACCCAAACCCTCACCTGGTCGTGGTCGACATCCGCATCTCCTGTGATGACGATCCGCTTTTCAATCCGCGTCTCCGAAATGCCACCTTTTACAGTCTGGTGCAAAGGGGAAAAGTGATGTTGGTCTTAATTCACCATGGGCAAATCCGGGCCCCTCAGGCTTTATTTCCACTACAAATTACATTATTTTGAAGGTTATGGGATTTCAGCTTTCTTCTATTGCTCAGCTTGGCCTTCAACCTCCCCCAGCCTATTCCATATGCACGGGGAAGTCATCTTGAGAGCAAACCCATAACCACGTTTGCTAATTACCACACTTTGATGGGCAATAATTACAGAATTAAAGACTATATTATAATCCTGAACTAAATTACACTTCTGCTTCATGTGCAGCTTTGACTTTCTCTTTCAAATTAAAACAACTATTTTGAACAGGCTAGACCAAGATGAGCCTGCGTGATGGCGATTTCCAAGGGAGACCTTGGAATTTCCTTCAGCAGAGCCAAGAAAGGTTAGGAAGCAAAGGGGAAATGGCCATCCCAGGGATTGCAGCAGGCGCGTCGCAGAGCACCGGCGCAAGCCCTGTGGGTCGGCAGGGTGCCCACCTTGGTGATCTGCGTGGTGGTGGTGCTGCTCGTGGTTTCGGAGGTGATGGTCTGAGCAGTCAGCAGGATGCCGGGATCCAGGTCTCCGTTGCCGCCATCCGTCTACGGGAGAGACAAAACGTGGCCCTCAATCTCCGCATGCCGTGTGGACAGGAGCAGGAAAATGGGATCAGTGCCGTATTTTTCTCCATGTTACAGTTTGGAAGCTTTTGGGCATGATTTGGGGATCCACCTGCTGAAGATGGATGCTCCTCGAGGCACCCCAAGAGAGCTGGATGCTTCCAAAGAGCTTGCAGCTGGCTCGAATGAAACCCTGCTTTCCCAGCCCTGTTTTATGCAAATTCTCCAATATGTAAATAAAACCTGATTCTAGATCAAAGATTAATTTTAACCTCAGCCATGAAGCCTTACCTGCATATGCCAGCTTTGCTCCACTATAACACTTTAATTTATAGTTGCAAACCAGGTTAACACTGCATGGTCTAATCCATATCCCAAAGCCACCAGTGGCTGCATGTAAATCCTGTTTGCACACACACCTTGCAAAAGTAATTGTGCTTTGGGGATATTAAAAGCACTGCTATCCTAAAAATATCAGCTGCACCTGCAAATCCCGTCCCCAGCATTTGTTCACGTTTGTGCTGTGACTTGAAAGGCTCGAAAAAAGCAGACAGGAGCAGCTGGCACCGCTGTCTCCTCCTGAAGATTTAGAAACCAGGATGCACTTGTGTTTGGCTGAGCTTACTTAAGCCCCTGGAAAAGGAATCGTTAACACACCTTACCTGTGCGGCTTCGTAGGTGATGGTCTTYGTCTCCGTGTGAACGATGGGGACTTCCTTCGTGGGGATTTCGCTTTTCACAGCGTTGGACACGTCCGAGATGGTGACTGTCTGCGTCTTCACTAGCGGTGGCTGCGAAACGGGTTGAAAAAGAAAAACATCTCAGCAAGCCCCCAATTAGCCCTGGTCGCCAACAACTGCGTTGCTGGCAAATGATCTGACACTGATCTGATAAAAGCACCCAGGGAGGCCGGGGCAGCCGGCGCGCTCTGCGTTTAAGCCTCGGGGCGACACGCGTCGCCGAGGTCAAAGATCCAGCACGGGGATTAAGGAAAGGGAGGAAATCCTCCAGATCTTCCCAAACCCCGCGGCCTGAAGTCAGACCAACAACAGCGTCCAGGGCTTAGATGCGGTGCCAGAACACCCTGAAGAAGCTGTCCCTGCTCACCGTTAACCCTCTCATCACGAGAAGCTCAYTGAGAGCTGCCAGTAGAAGATGACCTGCATTTACTGGTACGGCAGGATTACCAGGATCTGGATAAGTAGAGTTAACTGCAGCCGGGAGAGGCTTTTTCCCAACTACAAGTGGAGCCCCTCCATCCACGTGTGAAAACCCTCATAAAATCCTCAGCCTTCAACTTTTATTAAATCAATGTCAGACAAAACGGAAACATCTTGGAGGAGAATCATGGAGGGGAAGAAAAAAAACAATCAGCGGTTCCACCACCTGGGAAATCATCCAGAGCAAGCCGGAATTAGGTCAGACCCGCAAAGTTCTCCCAGATTGCTCCATTTCGGCTCACCTTCCCCCAAAACCTGCCACCRAGCAGGGGATTAGCAGGGCAAGCGGACAGCGCCGTGCCCGTAGGCAGTTAAAATCCAGGGAAAGGGAAGCAGGCGAGGCGAAGGGCAAGGCGAAGGGCAGCCTCCCCGCGCGGGGGGCAGGAGGGGCGGCGCTGAGCGCTCCGCTCCGCTCCGCTCGCGGCACCGGCGCCGCGGCCGCTCCGCAGCCAAGCCGGGGTGGCGGGAGCGCGCGGGCCGGCTCACTACCTGGAAGCAGCGAATGAGCGCGGGCAGCCCGGGAGGAGGCTGGGAGCCGGGAGCCTGCACGGGCTCCGTGCCCGCCTGCGGCACCGCCGGGGACTCCGGCTCCGCTGGCCTTTCCGCAGCGGTGTCACCCGCCGGCTCCCGGCTCGGCTCCTCCGCACGCCCGGGGAGGCTGGAAGCAGCCGCCTCCTCCTCCTCCTCCTCCTCCTCGCCGCAGACGGGGGATGCACCAAAGTGACGGCTCGGAGCAGGCTCGGGGGCAGGTGACAGCTGGGTGTCACTAAGAGCTACCACCCGCCTTGCGCCCGCCCCTTCAAAGGCAGGGGCCGCACCGCTCCTCTCGGGCACCTCCTCTCTGGAGAGAAAGTCACTCATACTCTAAAAAGAAACGAATACACAAAAAAAAAAAGGCCAGAGAGAGAGAAAGAGAAGAGTTAGGAAGAGCAGGAGGTCATGGAGCATCAAGACAAAACAACACTGGTCCCGCAGGACATGTCACAGCGCCAGGAATCGGAGCCAGGGCGGGGGATTTGAACGCTTCGGAGCTGGGAAACCTCTGTGCTGGGCAGCGTCTCCCGTGGTTTAGCGAGCGCAGCCTCCACTCCAGATCAGTAATCCCTGTGCTGAAGGTCTGAGGAGTTAAYAATATGATGACTCTCCCTACTTTAACCAAAACCTGCCATTTTTGCCMAGTTTGGAAGCTCAGCAGGCATTTCAGTGCAGCGAGCGGGCACATGTGGGATGCAGCGTGCAACAAAACCCGATGCCAAAACCATGCACGAGAGCCGCGTCTGGACCGCTGCCCATGTTCTGCTCGGTGCTTTCCATTTGCACATGGAGATGAAGGGAGGGAGCCCCGAATTCCTGCGCACGACGGTGCCGGGAGCCCACGTCCCAGCAGCCGGGGACGCCACTCCAAGACCTTTGCTTCCTGCAGCAGCCTCTGGGAAGATCCCAAAGCCAGGTCTGCATAAAGTTGCAGAGGCGACACTGAAGTTATTGTGAGAATAAGCACGGGGTTCGTATCCAAATCCACTGCTGCGACTCCCAAGAGGCTCCTGAATTAAAAGCAGCTGCCAARCATGGTGCAGTCGGGGCATGTGAAAGAACCTGCACTTTCCTCTTGCCAAAGAAGAGACCCCAGCTACGTTGGGGACCTCAGGGACGCCACCAGACCGAAACTCTCCCAGACTTCTTGTCCAGGTYGTGTCCAATTCCTGGCTTCGAGATGCCACGGTCAGATTACCCACAAAATTCTTCATCTGAAATTCCCTGGATATTGCTTCAGGAAAAGGCATGCAACCTGAGCAAAGGGGCWGCAATTTGCCCCGGGATCAGGTTGGATCGCAGACATATGGAGACCTTATTCCGATTGCAGACCACTTCCATGTGTGCTCCTGCAAAAAACGTGTGGATCTAATGCAAGAGACTCTACGTCAGCGTTGCACAAAAYGGAGTACGTACTGAGGCTATCAGCRTCCAGTGCCCGCGGCTTAATCTCRGTTTTAAGCCCGGATTGGTACRCTGGCGATACACCGAGCTCTCCTTAATTATATATGTCAAAGCTTGCAAATTAATCATGGGATTTGGGGAAGAAGCGGGGTATCTTCTGCACTTTAATGGAAAGTGCTTTGGAAGCGGGATCTCCTTACGTGCCAGCTGTGGCATTGCCCTGCCCAAGAGGGAGAATGAAATACACAGATAAAACAAAGCAGATTAAGCTGCTACACAAACAGAGATCTATTGAGCAGACAAACATTTGTGTACGGTAAAAAATAACTTCCCAGCTGCCTCTCGTATACAAAAAATAAATAAAAATAAAGCACTTGGAAGCATCTTGCATGCTGAAAGCATAAAGGAACAGGGAAGCTGGGGGAAAGTCTAGGCTGTACATGTGCTGGCTTTCAGCGGTGTGGCAACACACATGCAAACTATAAAGACAGAATGAAATCCTGATAAGATCAACTGAGCACTTTTTGTCCTGCCGCCCTATTCCACCTTTAAGGAATCAGACTGATTACGAGCTATTGCTTTCTCTCTATAATTATCTATTTATGTACCTATTTTTTTATACTACAGCAGTGCTTCTTCCTGTATTTCAAAACCTACTCTGCAACTAGGTTAGAAGAGATGGTCTTTTTTACGCAAGGAAAAAAAAAAGAATTTGGATGCTCTGATCTTATCAAGATTTTGTTTTGAATTTGCCAGTGCCCAAGCGATCCTCCCGTGGGGCCTCAGGTGCTGCAGAGTCCCGAGCGGAGCAAGCTGGGGGGCCTGCACTGCAAAGGCCAAGCTCGGCCTCCGCTCGGGGTGTGCAAGGCCAAGCTCGGCCTCCGCTTGGGAGGTGCGAGGTCAAGCCTGGCCTCCACTCGTGGGGTGCGAGGCCAAGCCCGGCCTCCGCTCGGGGTGTGAGGCCAAGCTGGTCTCCACTCGCGGGGCGCGAGGCCAAGCCCAGCCTCCACTCGCGGGGTGTGAGGCCAAGCCCAGCCTCCGCTCGCGGGGTGTGAGGCCAAGCTGGCCTCTGCTCGCAGGGTGTGAGGCCAAGCCCGGCCTCCGCTCGCGCGGTGGGCCAGAGCAGCGTGCGGATGCAGCAGAATCACAGAGCAGTGCCACAAATTTAAAGCGGGGGATAAATTAATAACAGGGTTGTGCACCTGATGCTAGATAGCGACAGGACTTTTCCTTTCTTGAAGTGTTTCTGTCCAAAAGCAGGTTTGCCGGCAGTGCTGGCAGGCTGCTGCCTCTCCCCCCACCAATTTGCCCTCATCCCAAGCGGGTCCCCAACCCCGCACGGGACTTAAGGACCTCYACAATTAACTGGATCAGCTGCCTCTGGCGGGCTAGTGCCTCCAAGCACCGCTTGCTCGGCGGAGCAGGGGCGCAGAGGCGCTGCCTCCTGTTATTAGGTTATCCCCGATGCACAAAGCCACCCGGCTCGGGGTGAGCGCCTGCGGAGGCACGAGGGATCATGCTGGACCACACTCACCAGCAAGAGCTCCCCGGATCACCCGACGAGCGCTCCCGTCTCACGGCTCTCCAAGCCCTCGAGTGAAAAGTAGCACAAAGCAGAAAACAGACACCCGCAGACGTGCCCATAGCTGCTGCCCCTTATAAAGCTTCCTTGCCTTAAAGAGAGAAGTTAAAAAGCCAAGAACTTGCCAGGTCCCTTCAGGTGCAGAGCATGAAGCTGAGCATTTCTCACTCCGGATTCCTCCCATGGGAAGAGCTGCTCCAGGGCCTCGGCACGCGGAGCAGGAGCGCTGCCGGGGCGAGCGGCTTGCAAGGGCTGCAGCATTCCGCTCGCTGCCTTTGGGAGGGGATCCCGGGCTCCCCCGGGACAGCCGCAGCCACAGCGGCTTCGCCCAACACCAGACAACAGCCAAGAGGCCAAAGGAAGAGCGAAAAGCAAAAAATCTCCTGGAAAGCTGGGATAAAACCAGCGGAGTTAATGTGTGGAGCGTTGGCAAGGTCTCCTTGCACGGCCTCYGCTGTTAAACTCGTACCGTTACTGCAGGTGTGGGACTGTCCCAGAGCAGGAGGGAGCTCACGCTGGGACACGTCACCTGCAGCGCTCCTGCTCTCCGGGGACACCGAAGTGTTAAGAGGGTTTTTAGTAGGTGTTAAGAAGCAGCAGCAGCAGAGGAATCTGATTTGCAGTAACATTTATTAATGATAAATGTACATATTTACAAAGAAAAATCTGAGAAAAAAATACAAAACCAAAAAAGTGTTCCAAAAGAGAGCGTTTTAGGTAAAAGAGAAAGTATTTTTTAGTCCAGTGAGACTGTGTACCACTGCCAGAAGAGCACAAACACAGCAGGGCACAAACCCAGGCCGCTAAAGAAGCCTTCACCCAAAGCCTGCTAGTTCTTCCTCCAGCCTTAGAAACCAAGAAAAAGGCAAACCGGACACAAAATGCTACTGCCTGATTCTCCTACGCCAGTGGCACCACAAAGACAAAAAGAGGTTCTACACGAAGCAGTAACAACCTCTGAGCTCCTTGGAAAGTGTCCTTAGGCTTTAGCGTCCTTAACTAACCGCTCTGCTAGAGAGCCCTCGGTTCCCCTTAGCTCACTGGCCAAAGG